GGTAGAATGCTAGAGAAAAGATAGGAACCAACGACATCCAGAAGAGTTTAGTTAAGAGAGTTTGGCTCAAAATAATGCATTATTCCTCTCAGCACATGCTGTGTGTACATAATAAAAGCTTTAAAAAAATCTACAATCTAAAAAAAATAAATAAAATCCATATATGACAAGATTAAAAAGAAAGTAAGAAAGTGAAATGTTGGAGGGAAAAAAAAAAAAAGGCAACAAACAGCTGTGGAACAAATCTTAAGAGCTTTAGAAGGAGAGCTTGATCTTCGGTGGTAGGCATGGGCCTGCCCAAAGGGACAGTGCTGAAGGACTTACACAGGACTTGTACAGAAGTCCCAGGTCACCAGTATCCTCAGTGACAGCAATCATGAGCTTTATCGGCAGTCATGCTTTAATCGAGAGCTCAGAAACGATCATGTTTCTCCACTGAGGAATTTGGGTGGTATAAATCTGCAGTCTAACGGGCTTGAGTCGCGGGGGCTGGCACACTCCCATTGTGAGCGCTTTTCCTAGGGGTAGATAAAAGCCTCCCATAAATAAAGCTTTGAAATCTTCCAGGAGAGGTTAGCAATACAAATATGGGTGCATGAAGCTCAGTGCAAGCAATAATTCCACAGATTTTTATTAGAAAGTAGATATATGGGAGCAGCTATGCATGATAAATCAACATATCTGCCTCCTTACTGGCTTTTATGATAGGCATTAGCAGTAGTGACTGTCACAGAGATCATAACTGCTTTATTTCAGCTGTCTTTATAAGGCATAGTCAAATACAAGCAGTTGCTATTATTTTTTAAGCATAAACTCTTTCTCCCTGCTTTGAATCGATGACAAAGTGTTCCTGGTTAAACTTCAAGTTTTGCGTGGCTGGGAGAGGGAAGGAAGAAGTTCTCGGTCTTTCGGTTTGGCAGAGCTTTTTCCTGGAGCCTTGGGGGTGGCTGCCCTGCATTGCCCAGAGCACTGAGGCACGGCAGTCGCAACGTCTGCCTGCCCTTGGGGCACTTTGGGGAGCACGAGGACCGCCTGGCCTCTCCTTCAGGGTGCTGGAGGGGGTTTCGCAATGCCAGCAGCAAAATGCAACGTTTAATCTTTCTCAGTTGTCTCCTTGGGTAAATCAGCTTATGTGTAATCTGATTATGCATATAATATAGACGTATAAATTAAGTAGATAATTGGTGAATAATAGCATTGCCCACAGAATGATTTTAATAAAGGGTTAGAGAGGCTGTTCTGTGCTAAAAATGCTTCTGTCTTTCTAGGGTAGGGCTTTCAAAGACAATTAAAAGTGCTTTGCACCCAAAGCAAGAGCTGTAAAGGTTCATAACGTGCTATACTGTATAAATACCAGTGGGGAGCTGGGCACTCAGCTCCGACTGGGAACTCCCCGGAGCTCTTTATACGCCTCGGGAAGAGGAGGCTGTTATGTTGGTACCGAAGAAATATGTCCAGGCACTTTCCTTAAATGCTCACTCAAGGCATCCCATATGGTGTACAACTAGGCGAGGTTAAGGCCGAATAGATGTGATACTGTCTTTCTTTGAAGCTGCTTTTGTGGTTTTACAGGTGTAGGCAAGCCTGGAAGAAGTGTCACATTAAGACAGTGGCAGTAGAGAAGGTGAGCAGGTAGGTTTATCCAGCTGTTTTCATCTTCAACTCGTCATCCTCCTCCTCTTGGCCACATCTATGGCATTCCACCCTTCTCCAACTCTCCTGCCTTCCATAAAACAGCTGATAGCTGCCCTGGAGAATAATCAGGCACATAATTGCAACCTTCCTCCTCTTTGGTTAGTCCTGCAAAATAGCGCCTGGCCCATATGGTGCTGCTGACACTATAGAAATGATGCTATGGATTAATTACAGCTGGGGACACTAGGAGGGGGGAGCTTTGTGTGCGTGGCTCTCCCACGAGGTGCGCAGTTGCGAAGCAACCTGACACATCTGCCAGGGCTGTCTAAGAAACTATTAGCCAGTTGCTACCTCCTGTGCTCAAGAGCTGCAGGCAATTTCACAGTAATAGTTTCTCGGTTTCTTTCACGCAGGCAACCATGGTGCAGAGATACTGACTTAAATATGTATCACAGAATGGCATCCTTAATAGAGGCTTTACAGGAACAAAATGTATATGGGTAATCCACTAAGGCTGGTTGCAGCTGACAGCTTCGTTATTGCTCTGAAGACGCGTGTCGGGCACCACGGACCGGGAGCAGGAAGAAGCCGTAGGAACAGACAGCTCAGATTCAGGTCCCGGGGATGATTCTGCATCCCACCCACATGGGCTCAGGGGTAAAATCAGAAGGCACTGTTCAGGGAGTGCCAAAAAATGCAGTATTACTGCACCGTAGAGAAGAGCAGGTGAGTTACAAGGACACTGAAGCATTCCCCAGCTTGCGGATAGGGCCTCAAGCTGGTTTCCTTCTGCAAACCCAAGGAGAAGGGAGGCTTTTATGCAGCAAGTCTAGGCATGGAAGCATGGAAGTCACCTCGTGTGGTCTGACATACAAATTATTTTTTTCAGTAAGAGCAAAGCTGAACTTGAAAGCAAAAGTAGTTTGAGTATGTGTATGTGCAGAAGTAGGTTTAAAGCTCGCCACAGGTGAATGAGGTAGGAGATCACTCTGGTGCATCCTGGTCACTTGATTTAAAGCATCATTTAACCCCTTTGGAAAACAACATGAATCCTCAGAGCCAAGGCAGTCTCAGTTTTGACGATGCCATCAAGATGTGCACGCAGTACCCAGAGACACCTCTTCCTTTTGCACCACTTCCCCTTAGCAGTATGCCCTGCCCAAACAGAAAAAATCCACTAAAGGATTTGGCCCTGGAGGGACGCATTAGCTGGCGTTATTTTCTCAGTCGTCAAGTTTCAGCAATTCAGAACAAGTAGCAATGCCTCTCTGTATGGCTTTAATGACATTTGCTGTCAGAGACATGAGCCATTGGAAAGGACAGGGCTGTAACTTTATTTTAAGCTGGATAGGCTGTAGCTAAATCTTCTGAATCCCTTTCAGCTTTGGAAATGGCTTTCCCCTATCTCTGCCTTCTACCTGGTGCTTTCACATAGTGCTAAAAGGGGAATGGTACTTTTAATCTTGAAAATGCCTTTAGGGCTTTGGAGTGGATCATTTTAAAGTCAACAGTGTTTAAAACACATTAATGAGGGTATTCACCATAAAACAGTTTTATTTCTGTGCGTAACTGATAAACACGAATGTGAGAGAATATAAGGGAAAATAGGTGGGAAAACAGTTGTGCTTGCAAAAGCAAACAAATTGTGGATCCACAATGAGAAGAGTATCATATTTATTTTAACACTAAGGCTGGTTGTGAATTTTCCAGTTAAACATCTTTTGTTTTTTTCTTTCTTCCTGGGAAAATGCTCATTTGTCTTGACTGAAACCACATGTCCTCATATAAATTAGGTTTTGCTGCAAAACAGGCCAGCCTTTTGCTGGAGAACCCACCTACCTGGCTCCTGGGCGATCCCCCTAGCAAGCCAGGGCTGAGGGCTGGGTGGCAATACTGGCCACCACCATTTTCTCTGCCACCTCCAGCCCATTTTTCCCCCTTGTAGACAATGCTGGAGAAGGAGATGCACAGAAAGAATGCAAAGGGTAATGCAAAATGGGTGAAGGCAGAAGCAAATGGGCTTGTTGCCTCTTAGCAGGCAGGAAAAATAAAATTTTAAAAATTGAAACAATCTTAAAAATAAGAAAAACAGCAGGTCTGGTGAAATGTCAGACATCATCCCGTTTGCTTTGCCTTTTGTCTCTAACAGTGGAAGACCTGATAGCCCAAACATGAACTGCATGTGTGTTAATGGTGATATGCAAGTGCTATCAGCCTTTGGTAAAATGAACTGGGAAAAAAAAATCCAGCCAATCATTTAAATCAGGCACTTGTTCAGCTCTTAAGGATGTACAATATGATTATAAAACAAATCAATAAGCTCTCAGACTTTCTGAATGTTGTCACAAATGATTAAGTTACATGGATGGGTCTGAATTTTCTCCCCCCCGCCCCCTCCAGCAAGTCCAAAGTGTCACATCTGGACTGAGCTGCATGGATGTAGCTCCGAAATTTGGATTTTTGTTTGCTGCCCTCCCCAGAGGACACTTACCAAGTGAAAAACGGGCTAGAGCTCTAACACAGCATGCAGTTGTAGTGATACCCTTCTTTTAACGTGGGTAAGAATCAGCTTTTAAGAGCCATTAGGACCCAAAGGAAAATATGTTACTTTTACTGGATATTTCTATGGATTTGGAGCTTGTAAGCAGCATGCTTTGTGTAAGCAGCATCTCATAACAAGCACACTACAAAAGAGGCAGCGCCCATCCTTGCAGCTGACTTTTTGGAAGTGTTCACCATCCACAAACAGATACTTAAAACTCTTGAAGGCCATGTAGAGAGACTCACCATGAGTAGCGTGATGTGGTGAAAGGCAGAGTATTCTCGAAAATCTGGCAGTTCTCATCTCAGTTGCCATTGCCCGTGTCCCCTGTAGTTATTTAGACCTGTGCAAGGCCAAATTGGACAGGTTTTAGGGACAAGAAATCCCACTCCCCCCATTCAACTGTGTTGCAGTGCTGAGGGCCTTTAACAGATTGAAATGCAAAGCAAAAAAAAAAATCATGTAATAATGCATTTACATTACCACCGTGCTCTGGGCTCCACAACAATTTTAACTTAGCCCCCACGAGGCCACGCAGTAGTTTTGACTGCGGACGTGTTTACTTTAATATTGTAATAGCTGTGTGTAAAGTAATTGATTTGTAGTCGCTATAGCAACTATAACCTTGTATTTTCTAATGCCTGGGTTCAAAATGTTAACCTGAATGTGTTTTTTTTTTTTTGCCATAGAATTCACATTTCGTTCCTTTCATTTCTGGGGTGTGTTTTTTTCTCCTTTGGCAAGGAGCATTGTTCCAACTGATGGATTTAAGAACACATTTTCAAGAGAAAATGTTTTAAAACAACCAGCATTTCCTGCTACGATGCTGTGTTCCCCAGCACTGGTGGCAGGTTAAATACATCTCTAATCATGGTAAACTGTGAGAAATGTTAACTTCTAAAAAGAGTCAATTTCATTATTGCCTGATGCTTTACTCTGAACTGGTGCACCTGCAGTGCTGGGAAACAGTACCCAAAACTGATACAAATGGCCTGGCTGAACTGGAGTAGCAGGCTTAAAAACTCCACCCAGCTAGCATCACCTGTGTTTCATTAGGATTCGTTTTGGAGAGGCCTGGAGCCAGCCTCTAAAACCAGCAGCTTTAGCTTCAGAAGAGTTTGGTGCCCAGCTATGGGAGAGGCTGGAAGCTGAGTTTTGGTGAATTTTCTTCTGTTGATTAATTTGCTCCACGGGCAGTCCTGCCAGGTAAGCCCCTGAGAGGTGTATAGTTGTCATCTTTGAAAATCCTCTTTCTTTGTCTCCTTCATTACACTAATCATCTCTTCCTGCTCTTGTTAGAAAATAAGATTAATTTGTTCTTTGTCTCTCTTTTGGGGCTTTCTGAAATGGGCTGGTTTTATTTTCCCCTGCATCCTCTTTAGCTTTTTCCTCTTTGGTGTATGTGTTACTGAAGTGAGAGGTAGCCTGCTTCATAGTTTCAAGAAACATTAAAAAAAAATAGTGTTGTTTGGTAGGGAACTTTAAAAATAAAATCCAAGAAACCTTCTGCTCTCCAACCCTGACACAGAATGAAGACTTTGAACTGATTTTTCATGTTGCTCTGAGTGTTGAAGCCTTGCTCCTTCTTCTTCCTGCTAAATGCTATATTTCCAAGTTTATTCCAGGGTTATTTCCAAAAGCATGGAGATCCTTAACACTAATAAGAAGTAGTAGGGTAGCCAAGGAGAAGGGAAAGGCTTGATTCTTCAAGCAAATGAGGTCTGAGACAGTTAAATATTTTCATGTGAAGAAAGCAAAACTTTCCTTACTCCTATAGCAGCACTGCTGGGGTGAGGTATCTAGCTTCACTGTGAAGCAGCACTGGACAGTAAGTTTGTTTGCTGCAAAAGTGCACTTTAGGTGGATGGCTCTATTGGCAAGTGTGTGCCTGAGCTTTGGAAGCAGTTTTGGATGAAAGAGAGAAGGACATGTTTCACGGAAGGGTGTGGGAACAAGGTGAAAGTTAAGAAACAAAGAAATGCCTCAGTTTTTAATGTGGGGACCAAATTCTTTCAGTGAGGTGAAGTATCATTGACTATATTATCACAGGCATCAAAATATTTAAGTAAGGGAGTAGTTCTGGTAAAGTTTAGGTATTTAGGTGCTTAGTGTGTGATTGAGGATGAGAGACCGCAAGTGTTTACAGAGGCATTTGCTGAAGCCTGTGTGTCCACAGTAAGCCAAGCGTGAGTCTGTGAGCTGTACCACTTCTTCCCTGGGCCACAGAGTGCCTGGATCCATAGCATGAATATTTTCACATTGATACTTGATAAGCTGATGCCCTGTGGGACTGATGTAAAACAATCTGCTTTTATATGTGTAACTACCACTGACGTTGCTAGTGTGTTGGCTCAGGTAGCCCAAAGCACTTTTTGGTGACCTTCCACATTGCCTTCCCTGTGGAGCCAATGGCTGTGCTGCTAGAGCCCTATCAGCATTAAGGCTAGCAGATTCATGGTGTAAATACCTGCGAGAGGATGTTCTTGAAGCCTTCCTCAGAGGTTACAGGTGCACTGGAGATGCCTGGAAGAAAACGCGCAGGTAAAAGAGAGATGAAGAAAAAAAAATCATTAAGAAACTGCTAGAAGTACTCCATAGGAAGCAGTGTGTGTGTGTCCTGGGGTGCCTCTGAGAGATTGATGGGGAAAGTTTGTTTGTTGTGCTGTTTTATTTTGCCATTTCTTGTCCTTTGCATGGCAGAGATGCAGCTGAACACTTCTTCATGTGCTGGAAATGAGGAAGGCTGCTTCCATGGGTCTAATGGAGCCACAGAAAAACCTTTTGAGGCCTTGGCTGAGATGGTATTTAATTTAAAGGAAAAGTCTTTCTGGTCAGAACGGATGCATTCCTCCCTTTGGGCCGGGGTTGGGTGATGGTATCAGATGCTGCTTAAGAGGTGTGGATGTAAAAGCCATCTGTAGTCACAGATACATGACCCAGTGGTTAAGTAATGGAGTAACATGCCAACACAGCCGGCTGCTCCCTAAATGTGTAGCCAGAAAGTGTTTGCTTCCATTTTTGAATTGCTTTGCGGGTGCTAAGTGGAGCTATTGCATTACCAGCAATTAAGGCACTTCTCCTCCCAGAGGCTGCTCGGGTGCTGCTTGGCCCCGGCACAGAAAGCGCTGCGGGCTCACGGAGCGGGCGGGCTGACCTGGCGCAGAGCATGAAGATAATGGAAATCTCTTCTCCTCCCGCTGAAAATCGAGCCTTTTCAGACCACGTTGCCACAGGGGTCTCTGCACCCTGGGGGGCTGGATGCTTTCTTTGCAGACGGCTTTATACAGAGGGTAGAAAGAAGGCCAATTGCACCCACAGCTCCCTTTGCCACCCTAGGCTGGCTCCAGTTACAAATCCACTTCCTTCTGCCAGTTCATAGCATCTGCAGCGCTAATTGGAACTATTTTTATCAGTTCTCTTTTTAAAGCACCCCCTTTCCTCTAGGAGGAGATGGGAGAAATGAAGTGGGTCCCCCAGACCTACACGTAATGAATGCTGTATTTCATGTGTGCTCTGGAGAGGTGAAAAAAGGGCTGGGTTGAGTAACCTGGGTGTAAGCAGCTTTTAATAAGGTATATTCATGTGCCAAAGCGAATCATTCTGGTCCATTGGGTAAATATGTATCAAAGTAATTTTCAAAATACTTCTCCGCAGCCAATGAGCTGGAAAGGGTCAGTCCAACCATGCATTATTTTTTAATGCATACGCTTATTTATTGGATTGAGGGAGGAACACAAGATCTTTCCGGTTACTTGACCAGCTGAAGCTGTCTTCTTGTGGCACAGCAACTCTGTTTGGAAGGAAGGTTAGTGCTCTTCTCCCCTGGTGTTGGGGGTGCTCGGTGGAGGTACCCAGATCCACCACAACAGGGCAAGGCTGTACCTGCGTCTTGCCTTCTGAGCTCTTACCACGTTTTGCATGAAATCCTGTGAGATGGGAGGCCCTGAAGCAAGCCCAAGGGCAATGGGTAAGATACCCCCTTGTTTTGAGAATGTTCCTAGGGTTGTGTGTGATCAGAAACCCGGTGGCTTGGCGCTGTTTTTTTCAGCGTGCAGAGCAGGCTTGGAGCACCTGGAAGCTTTCTATCAACCTAGTGTGGTGCCTGATGAATTTTGGTGAGCTGTGTGTAGGCAACATCTGTGCGATGTTTTTTTCAGGATCATGGTTTTGTGGTTTAAATTCTAACTGGTGATCTCTTCAGGAGCCTACGTTCAGTTTTGGACGAGGACAAAACATGGACAGAACTTTAGTTTTGAAGATTCAAAACTAAAAAAAAGTTGGAGTCAGTAGCAGAAGTGAGATTAAACTTGGATTCATTCATGTGTTTTTAGATCAACTTTAATTTTGCTACAATAAATCATAAAAAAAAAATCTGGGACAGTTTGACATAGACATGCAGCCAGCTGCTAGTCCCAATACCTAGCCTGGGGGTCAAGGGGAGGAGAGGGATTTTGTGCCAAGCTCTCGACCCTTAATGGAACACTTTATCTTTATTGTGTATTTGTAGCCTTAGCACCTAGGAATAAGGGGGCAACAGCAGAAATGCCCGGTTTCCACTTCAAGCACCTAAACAACAGAAGCAATCAGTCACTTGCCTCCTCTGTAGAAAAAAAAGAGCATTTTCAAAACATTTTCCAAGCAGGAATTTGCATGTGCCATATTCCATCACTAATGTATCTCCAGCTGTAGCACTTTGTAAGCATCCACAGATGGCTCACGTTCCTGGTTGGGATTTATAATTCGGTGGTTTGTGTTTTTAAGTAAAACCTCAAGTGCTAAATAAAGAAAATGTCAGAACTCTTTAACAATGGAAAAAGGGTCTAATTCAAAGGCACAGCTGTGGGACATCGTGGGAGTTGAATGAAACAGGAGGCTTTTCCTTGGAGGAGCTGGATATTATATTGAAACCATTATTTTTTCCCTAGTAAAGTCTCTGGGCCTGATGACAGGGGCTGGGAGCTGTGGGTTGCTTTGCATCTGCTTTCTCCCGTGGGTGCTGGTGGGTACAAGGGCAGCCAGCAGCTCACAGAGGGTTGGGACTGTGGTGCTGTAGTTTGCAGAGCAGAGAGATATGATCTGTCCTGAGGATTCTGCTGAGGGTAATATCCAGGTCTGTGTGCGTATATCTGGGTGTATATATTATATATGTTTATGTGTATCCACCTATATAAGGAAAATATACCCATCAGCTCTCACAGGTGATGATGGATGGTGTTAATGATGGTAACAGCTATGCATCTACTTTTTTTTTTTCCCTGTGCTTTTCCTCACTTATTGCAGTGAAATGGACATCAAACAGTTCCAGCCTGTAACTCTCTTCTTGCCCATAGCTAGGAGGAAACACTCTATTTTAGTCACTTTTGAAGCAAACCAGTAGTGAATGAGAGGGTTAAGATTTCAAAACAGGGATGAAATGAAGTGCTGCTTTAAAGTGAGTGGAGCTTTTTGTATTGGGCATGTTAATATTTTTAATTGTCTTTGGTCTCTTCTTCTTAGTGTTGTTATCTATTTGCCTACCAGCGCAGCAGGGAGGGAGCAATGTGGGCACACTGAGCATACCAGCAAGTTCTTGCTTGCTCTATCAATAAAAAGCACTTCAGTCTTCAACAATTCTTGATTTTCGGAGCACCTTAAAACCAGTGCAAGCCAGTCCTTGGGTGTGGAAAACTGCAGGAAGGCAAACACCTGGGGACGAAAGTTTTGCTTCATTTTTTGGTGTTGATATGCTAGCTTTGTTTTTCCAAATATTGATGTGATTTTTTTCCTGTCTTTGTTTTTTCTTCTGTACACATACTGGGACGCATACAGGGATAACCATTAAATTTTTTTGGTTGGTGTTAGTCCCCTTCTTGCGATTGCGTGAGCTGCCCTGACTTTGCAGGATGATTCAAGATGAAGAGCTGGGGTATAACTGGCATTTGTGGTGAAGGAAGAATGCCCAGCTTCTTGCTTTTAGTGTGATTAATCATCCTGTAAAAGATACTGCTGTGTAAGTATGATGGCCTTTCTAAAGAGGCAGGGCCAGGAGGATAAGGTCTGTATTGAGCCCCATGAAGCTGCCCCTGGAATAACATCTTGCATTTTCCATGATTGCCCTTCAAAATGAAAGATGTGGGAGCTGCCCAGAAGCTCTGCCCGTTTCGCTTTACAAAGAGCAAACTGAAAAGTGATTTGATCAAAGCCTGAATATAGCCATGTTTTCTTTA